TGCACAGTTGCAGATCTGCAAATCTGGCCCTAGAACAATTGGGCTGATACGTGTAAAATAATTTAAATTTGTTAAAAAATAGTCTGACAACCTAATTAAAGCTCAAACAGTGCGAAAAAACCAAATTAGCGAATAACCAAGAAAAAAAGAAACTGTGCTACATATCGTTATGTCCTATCTGTGATTTTTATAATCCAAAAATTTAACCCATAGAGCAATCTATACAGTGATATAACAGCAAATAGTCATTTCTTTTGTATATAAATTAGCTCTTCATATAGTTATGACTGATTTCGTCTTTAAAAGAAGCTTTAATAAGAAATAATGAATAAATTATCATTAATCAACGAGAAGAGCTGTTTTTCATTAATTTATGTTTCGTATAGCCAGAAATGCTTTATTTTTTCATGTTAAAAAGTTTATGATATACGACTCAAACTGTTAATAAAAATTAGACTATTAACAAATTCTATAAAAAGGGAAATGTTACTTGGAAAATATGGCGGAAACTTTGAATGAAGGAATAAAGGAAGGAAAATAAAAGAGTAATTATTGCTTTTAAGGCACTTTCTCAAACCTCGCAAAACATTAATTGTCCCCGAACTCACAATAATGGCTAAAATAAATCTGCGACCCTAATATTAACAGAACAACCCTTTGGATTTTAAAAAGCCTGAAATAAATTACACAATTCACAGAAAAATACCCATTTAATTTTATTAAATAAAACACTTAAGGCTTATTCCAGTAAAATACGGTTTACAACGAGCAAACGAATACTTAAGGTAGTATATCATGAAGCTATTTATTTTAGAAAGACTAGGTGTATTTTAACGTTACCTAATTTTTTTTATTTTTAAAGAATGAACGTGACTAATCTAAAAGTAAATATAGCCAATTTGCTTTGCTGGAAAACATTCTTAGCTCAAGCGTACTTTCTATTGTTCTTTATTATCACTATTCATTAAAATTAACGTTTTAACGTCTATGATGATTTCTACACATATCTGGAAAGAATATTTACAGAAAAAATGATTTAGAATGACAACAAGTCACAATTTAAGATAAGAGAAGGGTAAATATTCCAAAGACATCCTTCTCTTAACTAACTTGCATTTTGGGCTTTCAATTAACGTTTTTTTTTTATTTACATATTAAGGGCTTATAGGGATCCTTAAGTGATCATTTATGTAAACTTATTCATTGGTGTTGCCAAGTGTCCAATTGCGAGGGTAAATTTTTAAATGTAGTGAAAGAAGAGATTTTAAATTTAAATTTTCACACACTGGATCACAAAATTATAGTTATTTCACCGACATTGCTCCAGAAGATATAAAGGGTGTTTTTTTTAGAGGTGTGTTTTTTGACTTGGCAACACTTCGTCTAGTAAAACTCAGTATTGCTTGCCATTTCACTATGGATAGACTTATGCCGCAACAACGCTTACAAATTGTGCAAATTTATTTCGAAAATCGTGGTTCATTACAAGCAACTTACCGCACGCTACGACCATTTTACGGTCGATATAATTGTCTATCTGAGCAAGTTATTTGACTAACTATGAAACGATTTCACTCCACATATATTCTAGTTGATAATGTGCATCCGCAGAGACGTCGTGCAGTGCGCACCGAAGAAGTTAATGCTGAGGTGGATCGAAGACTATGCGGAAGGATCTAGGTTTACGAGCTTAGAAGATCCAGCTCGTGCAAGAATTGAAGCCACCTGACCATCTTCTTCGTCGTACGTTCAGTGAATGGGTCGAAAATAAGATTGCTGTTGACCATCATATCCATAAAAAAAATTTGTTTGGCGATGAGGCTCACTTTTGGCTCAACGGCTATGCCAACAAGCAAAACTGCTGAATTTGCAGTGCAGAAAACCCAGAAGCGATTATTGAGACTCCGTTAAATCCACAGAAGCTCACTGTTTGATGTGCTTCATGAGCTGGTGGAATCATTGGCCCATGTTGTTTTAAGGACGGGGCCGGCCAGACTGTTACAGTCACTGGAGGGCACTATAGATCAATTATTGCTGACTTTTTCATTCTCCAATTAAATGGCATTATTACGGAGACGCTCTGGTTCCAACAAGATTGCACAATATACCATAGAGCGCGCGAGACTATCAATTTATTGCAGAGAATTTGACGTAACGGATCCGTCAATTGGCCTCCACGGTCATGTGATCTCACACCTATCGATTATTTTCTGTAGGGGTATGTCAAATCACATGTCTACTCTGATAAACCACCGACGTTGGACCGTCTGGAAGCTAACATACGACGCGTTATTGGCGCTATAAGGGCCCTGCTGCTTCAAAAAGTGGTCGACAATTAGCCTTTTAGATTACTCTACGAGCATACTGTCACACCGTTGGTGGATGTGGCATTAATCTAATGGTACAATATAAAGTCCCCTGTATGATTAGTTTGTATTAAAAAATAAGGACTATTTTTTAATAGTTTTATTATTAATTATAAGGATTTGGGAAAGATAAAACGTGGTGTTAAAAAGCATTTATTTTCAAAAAAAAATTACATTTGATAAGTTATTATTATAATGCAAAATTTAACAATATTATAAATGAGATAACAAAACTTCGCTAATTAATTAAACAACGAACTAGATATTTTCGCTGAGTTGCAGTATTCAAGTTCGCCGACAAGAATCGTTATATTTTCAACTTAATATATGGCGAAATAAATTAAACTTTGATATACAGGATGTAATTTTGATATGTTCTGATTGAACATTCTGGCGTCTCTCAATTTCATCTCAGAGGCTAGAGCTCGATTGTTTGAGGCTGATTTGACTGACGTTGAATTATTTTTGTTGTATGTTCATTTACACAACGCTACGCTTTCTATGAAATGGCAGTAGAAACTTTCGTAGATATTAAAGAAGCTTTAAATAATGCCCAAACAAGATCTTTAATTAACACACTAGCAACGAAATGGGTACCAGCAGTCCTGTGTCAGTAGATAGAAGCCAGCCTAGAAGAAAAAGTAATAACATCATCTCTAGGCGAAGCTACACTGATGGCCAAAGCAGGCAAGGTCTGTCCCCAAGGAGGAGTACTATGACTATTCCTTTGGTCATTTCTAGTCGCCGAACTTCTAAAAAAAAACTAACATCCGCAGATTTTTACCGCCCAGGGTATGCCGATAACTTGGTGATCATTGTAAGAAGCAAGTTCGCATTATACAATGAGGAAGCGCACACAAACCGCTCTAAACATCGTTGACGAGAGGTACAGAGAAGAGTAACTAACAGTTAACCATCACAAAACCACAATTGTAAACGAAAGGTACTAATAGGATAAGGTCCGATTCTTTCTAGGCGCTCAGGTCACACTATACTCACAATCAAGAATTTGAGGTAGTATTAACATATTACACTCAAATGGCTCTTATTTTCCTCAATCTTATATTTTTGAATGGAATTTTAAAGCATAACTTATCATCAAGGTTGTACAATTCTTCGGTAGTTCGAACTAAATATTTACATTTAAATAGCGTGTCCAAATAATAAATCACGCCTTGAATGGACCATAACCTGAACTTGTGAGAGTCGGCCATTAAAGTCACCAGTATTGAAAGTAGTGAATATTCCATTTGCGCAAGAGGTCAAATGCTCTAGTAGCATCTTTGACCACAAGTTAACAAGGAATTAACACTTTTCGAGATTATTTACTTCTGTTCTATCGCTTATCAGATAGTCTTTTAGGGCTTAAATAGTTTTTATTGTCTTTTCAAACAATCATCTATAAAACATTTAGTGATCAGTAGATACTCTTTGTAATCCTAAATAGTTATCATTTTGTTCTTATAAAAATTTTAATTAATCACAATAAAGAAGGTTATATTTTAATCCTGAAATCTCAGCAAAGTAGAGGGACTGAGCCACCACGGCCTCACATAGGGAATTCAATGTGTAAGAGTGAGAGATACAAATTCAGTAGGTAAGAATGAGACAGAGCATATCTTTATTGCTATTGGTCATATTCAAACAGAAAAAACAACTTTATGTAGAGAACGCGGTATAGATTAACGTCGAATAGAAAAAACATGCGCAGAACGAAAAGCCATAATGGCCTTAGCGTGTATCTTTATTGCTATTGGTCCGATTCAAACGTGAAGAACGGCATTATATAGAGAACGTGGTATAGATTAACGATATAAAGAAAAAACATGCGCAGAACAAAAAACCAGAATGGCCTTAGCGTGTATCTTTATTGCTATTGGTCCCATTTAAACAGGAAAAACGGCATTATATAAAGAACGTTGTATAAATTAACGTCGAATAGAAAAAATATGTGCAGAACGAAAAGCCAGCATGGCCTTAGCGTGTATCACGTGGTTTGATTCAAACGGGAAAAACGGTATTATGTAGAGGACGTGGTATAGATAAAGGTTAAAGAGAAAAATTGACGTTTCGTTTTATTTTGACGTTTTCGTTTGAAGTTTTCGTTTGACGTTTTCGTTTGACGTTTTCGTTTGACGTTTTCGTTTGACGTTTTCGTTTGACGTTTTCGTTTGACGTTTTCGTTTGACATTTTCGTTTGACGGTTTCGTTTGATGTTTTCGTTTGACGTTTTAGTTTAACGTTTTTATTTGACGTTTTTGTTTGACGTTTTCGTTTAACGTTAATCTATACCGCGTTCTCTACATAACGCCGGTTTTCCCGTTTAAATCTATAAAGATATACTCTGTCTCACTCTTACCTACTGAATTTGTACCTCTCACTCTTACACATTGAATTCCCTATGTGAGGCCGTGGTGGCTTTGTCCTTCTACTCAGTAGTATAAAGATAAAATCTTAATTATTAAAGAATAATAGGAAAAATAGGTTTGCTGAGCATTTTTCCAATTTTTCTTAGCAAATCCGAAATATCTGCGTCTAAATTTTTCGCTGGACCACCCTGTATATACATATATTATTAGACTAGCTTTTTAATTAATTATATAGATTACTTATACATATTTCTTTTTGTTTCAGGATTTACGTGTGCTGGAACTTCGAGGATGCGAACTCAAACGAATCAACACTCAACTATACCACTTGCTGCCTTATCTTTCCCACTTAGACTTGGGAAATAACAATATTCAGTTCTTATCCGAAGACGAATTCCACGATCTTCATCGACTGCACATCTTAAAACTGGACGGAAACGTCTTACCGGTGATTTTAGAAAAAACTTTCGTCAATCAACAACAATTAAAGTACTTATGTCTAGCAAAAAACAGGTTGGCTAAAATAACCGATACTGCCTTTTTAAATCTTACTAGTCTTGTAGAATTGGACATTAGTTACAATAAATTGAGTAAACTTGAGCCGTACGCTCTAACTCATCTGGCGGACACTCTACAAAGGCTAGTGATTAGTGGAAATAATTTTACAATAACGTTATTAAAGCTGTTTTTGCAGACACTTTATCGCGTGTGGCACCTCGATATTGCGCACATGAAACTAAAATCTTTACCTGATCGATTCTTACCAGATAGGATAAAGAAACTTAATGTTTCCTGGAATAATATTAGTAGTGTAAGTGTTCATACCTTTCCAAGACATTTAGTAGAATTGGATATATCGTTCAACGCAATTAAAGGCCTAAACGAAAGTGTCGTTTTAAAATTAGATACTTTAAAATACGTAAATTTCACAGGCAATCCTTGGTCCTGTGACTTATGTCACATAACCTCAATTTTGTTTCGTGTAAATAAAACGGACTTATTTAAAAATTCAGTATGTGCCTCCCCTGCCAAACTTAAAGGGAAAAAACTAGTTAGTTTACAGTTCGAAGATGTTACTACTTGCGATTTAAGTGACGGTTCAAAAGACAAAATGCCAGCGGATAAACTCAGCCTGTTGGTCGGCCTAATTTGTATCATAGTGTTCGCGATATTATCAATAATTTTCGTGGTGTGTTCGTGCGTTAGAAGACACTCGAGGAATTTAGCCAGACAGCGAAAGCGTGCTATGGAGTGTGCAGAAAATAACGTCGAGAATGCCTCTGCGGTTTTTTGTAAAGGCGAAATAAGTTTTAAATTCCCATTGGACCTGACCGAGAGAAAGATGTCAGTGTCAACTATAGATGAGATCAAGAGAGATTCCCAACAAAGTTTGCCGAACGGCACGATAACCGGAATCTGAAAGCAACTGAAATTTTCTGCTCGATGGGTTGTGATAGCCCAGTTGCGAAAGGTTATCCTTTGAATGGAAAATATTTTTTTGGCTGAATTTTACTTAATATTCTTTTTCTGCTTGATTTAAAGTTGGTTTTATTGCTCTTTGAGTTATAAAAATGTTTGAGAGGTTTAATACTACCGTAGAAAGAAAAATTCGCAGATGTTACTATTTTTGCAAGTGAAACGTTAAATGAAGTATCAATAACCCAATAAGGGTCTGCTCTAAATTTAATTTTTTATTTGATATTAATTTTTTTGTATGACATGTGAATTGTTTTTCATTGCATATGATTTTACGTGATTTTCTAAATTTTATACAAGATGATCAAGTATACTTAAAACTATTTTAAAAGGTCACAATTTAAATCCTACTTGAACTTATTACCCAATTATTTTATGTACGTACTCTGCTTAAAACTGTGACCTTTAAAAATAGTCCTAATCCATGGATCACTGACAATGTAAAATGTATGATTAATTTGCAAAATAAGGCGTTTACTAAAAATAACGAAACAAAAATATCACTGGGATTATTATAAGAATTTAAGAAAGTATATTACACAAGCCATACGTGCAGAAGAAAAAAATTATTTTAATCAAAAATTTTCTAACGCCAAAATAAACAAAAATGGAATATTTTAAGTAAATTTACCGGATATAAGAATAGTAATATTTTAACTTTACTTGAATTTCGATGCGAATGACATCATTAAAAACTTTCTTGAAAATTAATGGTTCTATCATTAATCCTTGCCCGGAAACTCGAAATTTTTACCAGAAAAAATATAATTAAAATTATTCCAAAAGTTAAAACCAAAGCTTGTGGAACCGATGGAATTAATGTCACAATAATTAGCTTTCTTTGTCCCTACTTAATTCCCCATATTACATACATTATAAATTTTTATCAAAAAATTATATTTCCCCAATAACTTAAAAGGGGGACTAGTTTTTCCTATTTTGGAGGGAGTTGTAGAGAAACAACATTGAGATCACAATGATAAATATAAAATTCTACCACCCACACAATCAGGATTTAGATCAGAATATAGCTTGGGTACGGCCCTATTAAACATAACGAATCAGTTGCTGAAGAAATCCAACTCCAGAAAAATGTTGGTTTATTAATTCTGCTTGATTATGGTAAAGTATTTAACATGATCACGAATTTTACATTTTATTGGCCTAGGATCAATCGCAATAATATTTCTCAGAAACTATCGGACAGGAAGAACACAGAAAGTATTATATAATGTTGGATGAGGAGTAGCCCAAGGTTCAATCATAGGCCCTCTTTTTTATACAATATATACCAGCAATTTGTGTTTGGTTTAACAATATTTCAAGGCTCATATGTATGCTGACGATATGCAATTATATGTTTTTTATTAAAAACGATGAATCAAAATGCATTCAAAAAGTAGGTATTGATTTAAATGCCTTGCTAAAAGTATTTACCTAACATAATTTGGTGATTATTTCAGACAAATCTGCTGTGGCTCTACCAACTGTTCAAAAAGCAAAAAATTTAGGGATAATGATAGACAATTAACTGAAATTCACTGATCATGTTTCTTATGTTCTACAAAGATCCTTTTTTAAACTAAAAACTTTATATCATAGCAGACACTTATTTGACAAAAACCTAAAGATACAACTCTGTGGCTCTCTCGTTCTAAGTAATGTAAATTATTGTGATTTTGTATATGGGCCTTGTCTTTCAGTAACAGATTCAAATAGGTTACAAAAACTACAAAATGCCTGCCTTCGACTTATATATGAAATTAAAAAATTTGATTTTGATAGAATTTCTCAAACATTAGCAAATTCCAAATATGTTAAAAAGGAGAAAACTTTATTCATTAACTCTATTTCAAAAAAATTCTAATTAAAAGAAGTCCTCCATATCTTTGAAATAAAGTTATTTATCGTTTTGATCTTCATAGTAGAAATACACGAAAAAAAATATCTATTGAAATTCCGAAACACCAAACACAACAATTTAAAAACTCGTTTTCATACCAGATAGCAAAAGAGTTTAATGATATTCCTGTTACCTTAGTTAATTTATCCATAGCATCTTTTAAAACAAAAATGTTTAAAATAAATGATAAACAATGCTCAAATTTGTAATATTGTAATTTGTAATTTGATTTTGTATAAAAAAGCGGTACTTTAAATAACAATTTTTTTGAAAAAATAACAACTTACCGAAAGAAATCAAAATTTTACTTTTATGGAAGAAAATTTTAATATTACCCCAAAAACAAACAAAATTTAGTGCAAATGTTCAAATTACTCTTCTTTAATCATTTGGCATTGACCGATAACATTTTTTTGTGAATTATCATTATCACGTCTGTACACTTTTGACCGTTTTACAAATATTTGTAAATAACAAAAAATACCACTTTTAACTAAACGTGAAAGAATAGAAATTTTAATATTGGTTTGATATGATTAACCTTTAAACATAAACATGATTCTATACTGCATAATACAAAACATACGGTCTCAGAGACTTAACTACAAAGTCATAATCTGTTACCACTAGTGCTAGTAAACTAAAATTATAATAATAAAAATAATAATAATAATAAAAGTTTTTAATTATTTCAACAATTATTTTATTATTCCCGCACATAAATCATTCCCTTTCGATAGGCAATGAAAACAATCAAAAAGATCTTTTAAATAGACCATTTTTTGTTTCGACTGTCATTACTCGACACATTTTGTTTTAGGGTGTAATCCAAAAATTCTACCAAGCTTCCACTTTAACGTTACTAAAACCATGAACCCCACTTTGGCATCCTTATTATATTGCCACATTTTTCGATGTTAAAGTTAACTTAGATATATCTTTTACCATTTAACCCAAAACTATGAAACATGAAGCAAATATAATAGTAAACCAAAAATCAAGAAATACCATTCAAAACAGTAAAATACAGAATAAGAAGACAACCGAGATGCCACATTGGTGTAGCAGAAGTAAATGATGTGGAAGAACTAAACAGTTTTGTAGGAAGAGCTAAAAAAAAAGGATTGTTGCTTTTTATTAGCAAACCATGGCCATAACACATCTAAAAAGTGTGACAGAAAAGATCTGTTATCTGTGAAGGAATTATCAACATACAAAAAAACTGCTAATAACAAATGTTTTAAGATCAGCATGCAATATGATCTTATGGACCAGGCGTACCCTGGAAATTTCTGGCCACGTGGGGTAGCAGTCTACTGTTATGACTTTAGAAAAGAAGAAAACTAATATAAGAACAACCAGGAAGCAAACCTACTAGATGAAAATTATGCATTTCAATATACAAGGTATACAGAAAAAAAATAGTGAGCTAGAACAAATTTAAAAAAAAAAAGATTAAAGTAGATATATGTTGTTTTTCAGAATATTGGTTAAACGCTAATGAATTGATATGTTAGAGCTTTGTGATTATTCTTTGATCACTAAGTATTGTAGAACACAATACCAAAGGGGTGTAGTCTCTATTTTTTGCCAAAAAGTATTATATTAATAGAACCTGTATACTGCAATTTTACTATTGAGAAAGTTATCGAAAAAAATGTTTGTAAATTTATCTTTAAAAATAAGGACATTTTTCTCATATGTCTCTATAGACCACCCAAATCAGATTTAAAATTGTATGAGTTATATGAGTCCCCTAAATGCAAAACTCGGTATTTGACGAAATTTTCAAAAGTAATGTTTTGGCGCCATTCAATTCCTTATTTCAAACTCTATCATTCTTCTCCTAAAATAAGATGCAAAACTCCCTATTTCTGCATTAAAAACGCTTTAAAAAACGAAGACTAGATGCAGAACTCTGTATTTGCCTTCACTTGTCAAATGCAAAACTACGTAATTGTAACCTGCTGCCAATGACTTTGCGCCTAATAGTCACGTGATTAAGTAAGTGCACGGGCACGTAGACATTTTAATTTATTCATTTGTTGTTTGGATTCTGAAGAGGCCAAAATAATTGAGATTAGGAAAACCAGTTTTAAAAGGGACAAGTTTTCAATTTTTTAGAAAAATAAACATTCCAGGTATTTAAAACATGTATTTATTATTCAGATAAGTAGGTAAACAAAGCAGACTAAAAACACAAAAGAAAATAATACACCAGTTTTAAACTCTAATAACACAACAAGTGATAGATAATTTCCTGCTACACTCCAAACAGATCGGATCTCCACATTTAATGCATTTGTATGCAGTTTTTCTGCATTTCGAGGATATGCACTTTAAACACGCTTTACGTTTCTCAAGATTGTCGCTCGGAATTCGGTCGTCAGTAGCATCATTTCCATTGCCAGTGGATAAGTATTGTTTTATTAGTGCCCTAATATCTCGCGGAAGATTAGGAATATTGCGATGCCTACGAAGATGGGGTTCCACTAGAGAATCTGCCAGCTTTTTTATGAATTCAAACCTTTTCACCATAGTATTTTCTCGGAAACACAGATATATTATGAAACTGTTTATACAACTGACATTGACAATGGTATAAAAAACTACTAGTGGCCACCTTCTGGTTCTCCTGTTGGACTAGTATAACGCACTCTTTATGTCGAGTAGATCAACACCACTTTTTGTTTTGTTTTAATAGCACACAATTTCGGGTTTATTTTTATCAGGATCAGTTTCAATGTTGTGATGCATGGAGGATATCAGTACAACTGTTCCGTTTAAGAATACATCAGGAAAAATGTGAATTATTCAACCAAGAATACCCTGATAGACCGCCTATTGTAAGATCTACAGTAACTAATTTGGTTACCATATTTACCGAAACGGGAACCGTCTATGATTTGCCTCGGCAAGGTCGACCTCCCCCAAACGATGAAACCAGATTAAATGTGTCACTTGAAGCTGAAGGAAATCCTAGCAGCTAGCCCTAAAAATTAATGTGGGCCACTCTTTTGTCGTAAGGTTGTTCAAGAAAG